TGTACATGGACTGAAGGGCTCTGATTGTGCTCTAGGTTTTACAGGAGTTTTGGCAGAACCAACACTACCTCTGCAAAATAGATGGCCTAGTCATGCAGGAAATAATGGTCAGGTACTGTTTCTACATAGAAGCAGCTGAATTCCTATTTGGGGAAAAGGGGAAAAGAAAAGTGCATTAAGAAGTCTGATTCAGTTTCCATTATATCCCTCACAAAAGTTACAACTGATTTAAATAAAACCAGGATTATTTAACTTATATTTACATATGAATTTAATTGCTATTACAAACAAAAAATATAATTTAGGTGGGGCGTCTCAGCACAAGAATTGAGAAACAGACACATTTTATTTCAGCAGCAAACACTACTTTTACACGCTAAAGTTAAGAACCTACAGTGTGAAGCTGCTGAATAAATTCTCCAAGTAGCTGAACCCTAACGCACATGTGATTTATTTAAAGAATATATTTTTCTCTCTAACATGTGGGAATTCCCCTGTGTTCAAATGTCAAGATGATCCATTCATACCTTGTGGGTGCTGCCGGGATGTGTGGCGCATAAACGACTTAAGGTGGAGCTTTTCTGTAAATGCTGCGTGCATTCTTGTCTGTGGGCCAGCAACATAATATCCTACCTTGAGTGACTGATTTCATCGTGTCTGAATATTAAAGCGAGACCAGCGTTCTGTACTTGGACAATCCGGAGGCTCCAGAATAAAATTCCAGGTTCCCTCATTCCTGAAAATTTGTGGGCAAGTTTTTACTAGTAGATTCTCTTTCTATTCACCTGATTATGCATATTGACTGGATCAGATCTGAGGTTTGAAAGACAATTAGCAAATAAGTAATTCCCATTTAAGAAATACAAAACAAAGCCATTTTCTGTAACGTCTCAGGAGTAGTTTTTTAGACTCTCATTTTAACAGAGGTTTTCATTTCACACCAGAGAGTACAGTGTGCACATCTACCACCTACATCAGGAGCAGCACATCTTACCTTCACCGCTTCTTCCAGACTAATCAGATTCCTCATCTCCTAGAAGCTGAGTGTCTGCAGTAGATTGTCAAAGCAATAGGCTTCTTTTGATGCTGTGGTCAGTCTAGACCAATTGACTTGTTATCCACTATTATTCTCCCTGTGCAGATCCCAAATTTGAAAGCCCACAATTTTGTTACTTGAGATTTATGCTGTACTAGAAGTAACTTAGAGAAACGCGTTCACATGAGCTCCAAAACCAAATCTCACTGAATAGATAACTTAGTATCATACAAAGTACAGCATGCAATTTTGTAAAGTCTTTTGCATCTTAATGTGGGCAGTATTATTTCTAGGGCAATTATGAAAAGAATTAAGATTTCCACCAACTGACCAGCTACATTTTCCTTTTTTGGAGAAGGCACTAAACAGTGTGAGTCCAATCACTGTGCTCTCTCTGTAACATTAGAGAGGTTTTTAATGGCTCTAATAGGATCAGAAACCACTCATCATAATTCTTCAAACAAGCATTTGATTTTTCCAAAAACTAGTTTCCACTGGAAAAATCTTTAGAGTTCATGTTAAAAATATTTGAGTGACAGCTTTTATTAATAGAAAAATATATATTTACAGTCAATACTGTTATCTTAGATTTGCAGCTCTCCCTACATCTTGAGCTCAACTGAAAGTGCGACATTGCTAAAAAAAAAAATTCAAGATCTGTGCACATATTCAAGTAAGTTATAACATGCACAGCCAGGGGTTTTGTTCCTGTTACACACAGGATCCCAGTTACAAACAGAGCGGGTTTTTTTCCTTTTGCTTAGCAATTATGCTGTAGCATTCTTAGGATTTGTTTACAATCAGTTTAACACGTACATTCTCGAATATTTATGTGGCACAATCTGTTGCCAGGATGGAGAACCACCACAAACACAGTACAATCATCAGTTACGGGCTTATCTGCAAGGTCAGCCTCAAGCTCCCCAAGGAATAGCTCAGGCCACATTGTGTTTGACTACTTGACCGTTCTTTCTTTTTTAAAGAAAAAAGAAACACACAACAATGCAAATTGCTAAAGTTTACCCAGTGCTGCAGAGATTGGTAGTGAACATCTATCCATGCTTGATTATACTGCAGAGCTAAAATGAGTATGGGTTCATCACAAAAGATACAAACTGAAATTAGATAGCTAGAGATACAAAGGCTTCGGACCAGCTGCATTAAACACGCATGGTTGTAAAACATTCAAAATTCAACTTTGCATGTGCGTGTTGACATGAAAGTGACACTGAGAACACATATCCGTAAACACCTACTGGCTTCAAGGAATGAGCCCACTGCAATGGCAAGTGGTCCAAGAATTGCTCGTACAGCCTGGGAGTTATGTGAGAAGTTACGTGCGCACACACACTACGAAACAAACACAAAACCAGACCGGTGAACAACAAGCCCTACTCGTAGCTCAACACATTATGACTAATAGCTAGCAGATAGTATGCAAGTGACTAGTCATGCTCAGTGTATTTAAGCTGTGAGCGCATTGCCCTCCTGTGTCCAGATAAAGCAGGGCTGCAATGAACGTGTGTGATTCTTTGTAAACGTTCTTCTACGAGCTGCACAGCAGTAGTGTAGAAACTTTCTTTCCTGATGTAGTGGAAGTACCTCAACTACATACATTGCACTTAGGCTTTTAATGCACTGTCCTCTTTTCCGCATCAATGCCGCCATCCTAACCTTTTTGCCAAAAAGAGAAAGAAAAAACAATATATCACATTAAAATATATTATCCTTATCCTTGCCTGATCCTTCACTGATACAGGTGAATCAAACAAAAGAATAATAATCAGAAGTTTCAAAAAAAAAAAAATCTTTAGAAAGGTCACAAAAGACAGTCTATATACTACAGCACAATCGATGTAGGCTTCCACACACTATTCAGCTTAGCTCTGATAGATGCCAGAGAAGAATAATGCAGACATTTCAACCCCTCCAAATGTACGGTGTGGATCCAGAGCTAGTTTTGCTGACTTTAAGCCTGCAGGACTGTTTGTTCAGTTTCCATGCATCTGGTCCAAGCATGCATATGCTGTATAAAGTGGCTATTTGTTTCAAGGCTGAAGTGAATTGACTCCTCACAGTTTTAAAAATTAAAATGAAACATCAATCCATAAAAAGAACACATGGATAGCTATGCATTTATGTGCCAGGAAAGTAAAAGAAGGGGCTGCAGATCTAGCATCAGGTAACAAACAGCTGGTGTGTAAAGTGAACACTGTAATGTACAGCTTTAAAAAATACATACAAGAATTGCACATAGATCCATAGGAGAGAAGCACAGGCTTATAACTAGGGCTGTCTGCTTTCCATCACCCGGTCAGAATGTTCGGTATCACTTTTTCCCCTGCATCCAGATCAGTTCTTCAGAGTGATTCAGGAAACAATTCAGAGCCTAGCAATACTGAGCAAACATACCACCTGTACAACCGCAGAGGTTCCATAGGAAACGGCCATTAGGTCAGGGAAGGAAGTCAGCAGCGGCCCCCAAAAGTGAAAAGCGCCTTCAGGTTGAGTTTTTAAAAATTCTGCCTCTTCAATCCTCACTAATTCCTGCTCTAGTCCAAAACTCTGTCTGCAATGCTCTTTGAGCTGTTCTGACAACATTCCATTTTTAGGGTGCTGTCTATAGCAACGTTAGAAAACACTAGATAGAACAGACAGGAGAGACGCAGCCAACCACCGCTGTGGGAAAAACGGATCACGATACTGTTAGTTGTGGCTGCCAAACTTAACAGCTCCCTCAATAATTAAACAACAGTGTTTTTGCCCCCTTGTTTTTACCCTTCAGAGAACCGTGTCTGCAGTAAAATGTCTCCATGTGGCCTGTTAGCTACACACAGACAAGCTCTCAACATTTCTATCTCCTGCCAACATACCAGCAGAGCCAATTTCAGTCCCACTTTGCAATATGGCACAAGTGACAAGAGCAAACCAAAATAAAATAGAAGAGGTGGCTGTTATTTTCAGCCCCAATTCATAGCAGTGATTGTCAGAGAAGGTTATGTACATCCTATGCATTTCAAGTCAGGTTTTAGTGTCTTTTGCGGTGGAAGGGGAATTTCAATTGCCCACTGTGTGTTGTATTGTTCTTATATAAACATGGTTACAGCTACAGTACGTTAACAGTCCAGACTGGTGAATGTCATGTAGGAAATGGCAAAGACAAAGTGTGCATATTCTGCTTTTTAACGCAGAGGTCTTAAGCTAAGGGTAATGGTCTGATTCAGGCAGCATTGTTGAAATCACGGATCTGTGGCTGGAAAGGACAGGGGTAGGCAGTGAGTCAGAGGCAGTGGAGAAGGGAAGAGGACTGAACGCAGATTTTTACGGCCCACGGACACTCGCCACAGTCAGCAGGATAACCACCCCTGGGCAGGGGAAAAAAGGTGGTGTAAAGTCTAAGAGAAAGATCAGAATCTGTTTGGCTGAGACCCAAGGAAAGGGGAGTCCAGCGCGCTTGTGGGGGACTATGCTGAGAGAAAATTTTGCGTGGTATGCGGAATGGAAGCAAATGAGTGTTTTGTTGCATGGTGGATCATTCATCTCACAGTTACAACTAATCCGTTTCTGCTTATGGTCACTGCTATTCACTAACCAATGCTACATACAGAAATGACAGAAACTACCCAGAAGAGGAGGGCAACTTATTTACTGCAGTGGTAGAAGTAGTGGTATCAAAGTTTGCTCTCCTTTTCAGCCAGATATTAATCAAGTTACATACTGTCTGATCCAAATGCAGTCATGTATATATAATCAATCCCTAACAGGCCTGTCAAAAAAGAAAAGTTTCTGTCATATTGGGTACAGGATGTAGTTTCTCCTATTAGAACCTATTTGCTCAGAGTTGCTGGCTTTGAGATCTAGGCTATTTCTTAACACTTGCACAAAGTGTGAGCCCTAGGGCAAGCTGGAGTGAGGGCTGGGGTGGAGGTGGGGGTGCTTCATGAAAAGCAACAGGCTCTACAAACTAGTGCTGCTGCATGATTCTCACAATGCGATGAAGTGATTCTATAGTGGCAAAAGCCAGATACTGACAACAAAGCCAGTCTTCCAGGATAACTCCACAGTCCCTGTCCAAGGACTTCTCTGCAAACTTGATCATCAGCAGCGTCCTTTTGATATCTAGCCAGTTCTGAAGTACAGCATCTCTCCGGGCAGGGTTGGAAGATGTACTTAGAGCATGGAACAAGTCCTCACGTGGACCCCAAAGCAGACACTGAAGGATTCCCTTGGCTTCTGATATCAGGATCCTCTCTGAAGGGTTGGGATTCAGCAGGCAGCTGGCAAGTTGTTGAAGCCCTTGCGAGTAGAGGGAACGGCAAGGGATCTTGGGGAGATCAGCACGAGTATACTCCTTCTCCTTCAGCTCTGGATTCTCATCAAAGGGATTGGGTAAGTGCAGCATTTCATAGATGAGGATGCCAGTCTGGAACTCATCACACTTTTTGTACTGTGTTGCAGTGATGATTTCTGGAGCCAGGCGGGACTGATCCCGTAGGACCTCAGGATCCACCATATGACTCTTCTGCTTGGCCTGGGAGAAATTGCTCACTATTAATCTGGCTGGGCAAGCAGTGTTGGGACTGGGCTCCATGGACTCAGAGCTCAGAGGGCTGCCTCCTGGTCTGGAATGAACCAGCAGCAGGTTCTCTAACCGCAGATCACAGTGTGTGATATGATAGGGTTTCAGGTGCTCCAGGCCCAAACACAGCTGTAAAAGGAGTAGACAGACCTGCCTCTCATACAAATCTGGGCTTTTTGCATGGCGGGGTGCAGATTCTCGCACAAAGTCGGCCACCGTTAAGTATGGGACCTCCCGAGTGATGACCACAACACGGCTGCGTGGCTTGCTGATGGTCCCCTGGTTGCTTGAGCTGTCTTTCTGTGAAGCCTCTGTACTGGAAGGAGTGTCCCTGTTCTTTTGCTCAGGCTCTTCCTCCTCTTCTTCCTGCTCCTCTTCTTCCGCCTCTGGTGCATCAGCATCCTCCCATGGAAGGAGACGAACTGGCACTTCAGCAAGGAAATGGCCACAGTCCTGCTGGATGTTAAAGTTGATAGCCAGACTCTGCCGGATAGATAGGCTGTGATAATACTGCTGGGATTCCTTAGCTTTACTCTTGCAAATCTGGGGGAAGAAAATAAACAGGACAGACATAACACAGCTCTTAAATTTGTAAATTCTATATTCTTAAAAAAAAAAAAAAGTACCTTGTTGATGGGTATCCACATCTAGCCCTAAATACAAAGCACTGAGAAATTTTTTACTGAACTGACCTTGGCAGACTTATCTTAAGGCACATGAACAGTTTCCATTGCATAGTAAGCAACTGCAGACCAGTATGTGTAGGCAGCTCCCCCTGTGCACGTATGATTCAATGGAAAATACAGTTCAGGCAGGTTGTGCTTTTAGTCAGAATAGCAGCTGATATGTGGTAAATTCACAGCGAAGCTTACTTTAGAGGTACTTGTTTATCCATATCATTTTATTTCGTGTTCTCTCAGCTTTGTGTGAAGCTTGAACAAGATAAAAATAATCAATAGCAATAGGAGATACAAAGAAACATGCATAGAATAATTGAGGATATGATCAAACGGTTGCACATGACTGAGTTAGCACAGCGTAACAAGTTACCACCTGTCAGCTGAGTTAAGCGACTGCATGCACGCTCCTTGCCCACTGTAATTGGAAACTGCAATCTGTTAGCTGCAGCTGCATCAGGTTAACACCTCGTGTCTGCAGTGAGGGGTGTGTGTGTGCATGGCAGGGGCTGCTGGCAAGCATACTTGCTGTGGCTCAGGGGATGAATGGAAACTCATTACAACATGGTACCTTAATTGCTTTCAGTCATTTGTCAAGGTCCCAAGTATGTGTTTTTATTTTGCCCTATATAGCCGTGTTTAATTTCTGTCCAGAAATATCTTGTTGATACTTACATTATCACCATAATAATTATCCTTATTAATTGTTTTTACTGCCATAACAAGTGGCAGCTCCAACCCCGTTACAACAGCCACTGGACAACCTCTGTTAGGGACTCTGTTCTAAGGCATTTACTGATGAAAATTACAGCCCTACACACACTCAGGCTTGTTGACCTTGCATATTAACCTTAGCTCTACTGACTTTAGTGAGATCGTTCAAAACGTCTGAGGTTGAGCGTATGTTTTAATCTTTACAAGGTTAGAGCCTAAATATTCAGTTGGTATAATGCACCAACAAGTCTTAACTGCAACGCTCAGAGGAAAAGAAAATAGGAAGACGTCTCTCTTCAGATGAAGTTACAGCTTCCTTTCGCTCACCTCTGAAAGCCAAATAACTTAGGTTAGTAAACGTCAGCACTAGTTCTACACAGTCACAACCACCAAGGAGCCCAGATCTCATACTAGCCCTGAATATAAGCATACGGTGACTTGTCTCCCCGTTCCTCATTTTTCCCCTTCTCAGGAACTGATGTAGGGTAAGTTAGAAACCTAACTTTCACTGAGAGAGAAGAAAAGTTTTTCATCTTTTATGTGCTTATGTGGTTAAGAAACATACAGTTTAATGGGAGGTTTAGTCTTTTATGCTTATTGATCAGGAAAGTGCATTGTCAGATAATCATATGAAAGTAGACACAAGTAGTAACAGTATTTTGACTGTCCTCTTATCTTTGATACAGTGTGTATTTCCATACATCACAAGCATTTAAATTTCCCTACATATTATGTACACTATAGCTTAAGGCCTGTTTATAACTGCGACGCACAAACAAATTTGAAAATGCATGTACCAGTCAATTCTATTTAAAATAAGAACGTCATCATTTTCTGGAAACGTTGATAGTTACCTTCTTTGTACAGTGGCTCTTAAAAATTTAAATTTTCAAATGTATTTTATACTGTTAGAAGTGAAGTGAGTTACCAATGGAAAGTGCCCCCCCACTTCTCTCAAGTGCTACAAAAGTTTAAACAAATGCAGTAGAAATACAGCATTAACCTTTGAATTATATATGGAAAGAAAATGTCAGCTGATTGTCTTGGAGACTGAAGTCCCCAGATTTATTAAATACTTAATACTGCACAGAAGACAGAAGTAGAAAACTTGGGTAGACCCTACCAGTGTGTATCAAATCTAACTGCGAGAACAGCTATTAAGGAAAAGTAGAAGAGTTTTGTCTTTTATGGCCTTCAAGTCCGTGGTCTTTTTCTTGTACAGACAGCCATGGGCATAATCAATTCCAACTGCAGAAAAGGTCCACTGTGTTGTAATCCAGCCTTTAGGTTTTAAAAATACTTAACTGACCTAATCCAAAATAGAAACTCATTCTGAAACAGTTTAATTTTAAGGTCAAGCTTACCTGCTGGTAAGAAAAGTGCAAAAAAGCACTTGCCCCTAGCTATTGTACTATATTTCACGTTACCCACAGAAGTTTTCTAATGCTACCTGCCACCTAAAAATGATATTCTATTAGGAGTATATAATCCACAGAGTATTTGCTCTTAAAACAATACTTCTCAATTTAGTGAATACAAGGCCTTCTTAAAGGTTTATGAAGAGGATTTCTCCTGACCTATAGAAAAAGAAAAGCAAAGGAATCGAGACTTACTGCTAGTTTGTAAAGTTAGTCCAAGGCAGCTACTTTTTCCTACTTACTTCAGAAAAGGGCTCTCAAATTTATTACTGGAATTTCAATTAAAATAACAGGGGATAATTGGCTTTGCACCTCTCAAAATCAGCCTTGGTTGGCTCATTTTAGAAAATACTGCCAATCCTAGAGCTGTGGTAGTATAAAAGCACACTGTCACAGGCCTCTGTGGAGGTGGTAATGCTTCCTTCTAAATTAGAAACGACTGGCCGTGCACCAACAGGGGTTCAGCTATTAGGGAGGACAACGCCGCCTTTGCACCCATTCCCTTTTCCTCCGAGGCTGCAGAATTGGCCTGCAAGGCAAATCAGCTCTGCGTGTTGCCAGCTGGATCATTCCTAAGAAATGCCTTTCCAACCTACCAAAAATGTCCCAAAAGAGAGTTGTCCTTCTCTATCTTCTCCTTTCTCTTTCTTCCTGCTATTCAATCCCAAGTCTGTTTTACTTTGAATTAAACTGATAGCCCTTCTCCTGGCTGATATTAAAAATTATTGATTCCCATCCTTTAACATTACACCTTTACACTTGGGAAAAGGTAACTTTTCCCCTTTACACTGTTCTCTTTTTTGAAAGTAACCAGCCCTCATTCCTCCTATCTTTATTCCTAACCCTCTGATTCTTGTTGCTCTTTTCCGGATTCTCCCTGTTTATGACATCTTTCTGAAGAGTGGCACCCAATAATGAATACAGTATTCTAGTTAAGACCTCCCCAGGATCAAGCAGAACAGAGCTTTATATGTAATGATCCCTTAACACTTCCCAGGGTGAACAAGTCACATTAACAACTCCACCGTTACTGTGGTTCATGAAAACCTTCAGAGCGGAGTCCACTCTAAAGTCTGAACCCAGAGCAGAGCCAAACTTTCCCCAATGTCAGTTCTTATATATGAATTTTTGTTTCAGACTCCTCTCTTTATATCAACAAAACAGAAATTAAAGACTAAATAGTATTAGGATTAAAATCAATACTAAAATGACTGCATTCATGACTACAGTTTCCCCCCTCTTTATTCTGCTGTTAAAGATAACGAAATAAAGAAAAAAAAAAAAATCTCTTAGTGCCCAATAGTGGTGGTGGCTTTTGGACACTTACACTTTTTTGGCACAGGGAAGTATATGGATAGTTTTCTTATTGATCTGTTCAAAGACAGTATATAGAATGTAAATTTAATTTACTGACAAACTTCTTGTACTATTTTATAATTTTCTGAGTTGCGGCTTCTACTCAGAACTCTTATTTTAATTACCATTTTGCAACAGAGTAGTGAATGCTAGTGTTTAATACTATTAATGGATAATAATGCTCAGCCTACCATTTTATAAGGTAATAACTTCATTATCACCTAAAACTATCATCCGAATGACCAAGATGTAAAATTTGCAAAATGCTTTGAGTTAGAGTAAGTTATGTAGCCAAAGCCTATATTTACATTTGAAAAGATTTAGGGAACAAATTGTGAAATTTGATGGCCTCATTAGGTAGTGTTGTAGACTACTTGTGATGAATAGATGGAGTGGATACAGAGCTGCTTTTCTGTTTGTGACAGTTAATTCCATGTCAAAACTGTGAGTAAATACACAGCCCAGTTTTCTTCGCATGATTTTTAAAGCTTTTGTCTGTTCCAGTCATCTGCTCTAAAATACCACAGAAACCCTGCTGCCTTTTACATATATAATATGTTGAATTCCTATTTCTGGGCACAGGAAAAGAAAAAGGTGAAAATACTTCTACTAAAACACTAACAGAAAGTAGGATCGATCAGTCATTTACTATTTGCTTTAATGAAGTACAATCAGCTGAGCTATGAAGATATGGTATGTGATAATAGCTGAAAGAAAGGTGTTGATAAGGGCTTGGCAAGCCTTATTTCTAAAGCTGATAAAGAGCTGGTTGTTCAACGATGAAGCAATGCTGGTAAAAAGCCCTTCCACAGGATGCAAGAAAGCAGTAAGAAAAAAAAGGAGAGATACGAGTAGGAAGGAACAGAAAGTTTCTGTCTTCCTTTTCACTGGAACGCACTGTCATCATGAATCTTTTCTTTAGTGCATCCATACAAACTAAACTTCCATCATGTTTATAGGGACAGGACAGGTTTCTTTATATCCTGCCATTCAAATCCCCCTGCCTGGACCCCATCCTTAACAGCAAGATTTTAATGTTTCAGAGCTTCTAAAACCTGATCTGCATTAGCTTTTATTTTTTCCTTTATGAGTCCAGTAGCCTACTGTGCCATCAGCTGACTTCCACTTTACCAGCAGGGAATCTCATTTCCACTCTGTCCTATGCATTTTACAGGGCATCAGTGAACTTAAAGTAAGATGAACATTGTGGGAAATGAATTTACAAGTGCTGAAAATGAGAAAGACAGAAGATCACAAAGACTGCACCATCTGTGCTACTTTGTTGTATTGCACAGAGGGACAACTGCAAATGAAATTCTGCATAGAATGAAAGCTTGCTAATCCCAAATTGATAGCTTGTTCTTGGCACAACCTTGTTTTCCAAGGAGGCCAGTTTGATTTCTGATTGACCTCATTTTCTTGATCTGGCCTTGGAATAGAGCTTTGACTTTTTAACGATGTCCCAAAATACCGAATTCTACTCTGCTGTGACTGAACTCAGAACGGGCTAAAAGTTTAACGTACATAGCTTTAGTTTGATCTGAAGCATGAAGTTCTGGGATGACCTTTAATAACACTTCTGCCAAGAAGGTCCACTAGGAAACCGAATTACCAAAAAACAATCTTAGCACATTGTGACAAACTAAACAACTAGAAAATAACTGTCAGCCAAATTCAGCCCAATACGATTTACTTCTGCATTGCTCTCTTTTATACTCAGGACAGGAACCTTAGCAGAAATCCTAAGGTTTTTCTGCTAGAAGAACTTCTGCTGGCCTGTAGCAACCAAAGCAATAAATCTTTAACTGCTGCTTTTGAGCTGTTTGTTTGCACCTTTGCAATTCCTGTTATCCTACCTGAACTGCATTGCACCACGTGCCCACGGCCAGAACACATACTGCAAGCCGTAACCCTGCTGGTTTTTTATGTCTGCATTGTTCCGTGTGGACTCTGAATCATCATTTCTATCTGTGTCTCTCTATGACAGCAATTTCCTTGAGAGTTCAATACTGAAAGTGGAAGTAGTTTCCTCCATATCACTGACACAGTAATTAAACTCATGTTAAATATTACTCAGAGTATTTTTTTGGTAAAGATCTCTGCCACATCGCAGCCTTATTCAGTCTGCGTAGAGATACTAAGAATTGAACTCACCCAATCCGCTTTGCAGAAAAAGCTGGTGCACTCTGCTGCTTTTACTTTAGTGTAACCTTTCCACTACATATTTGGAATTACTGATAAGACTGTGGTTTCAGGGGAATGTTTATCCATATTGTCCCAGATCTACCAACTACTTAGTAGGTGGTACTGCACTTAGTGAAGGAAAAATACCTCAGGGACTGGAATTTTATAGAAACCTCTCTGGTAAGGGAACTTCTTTTTTTCTTCCATTTGGAAAAGTAGTTTTCTCATCATGACTTATTTACTGTTTTTATTTGTAATGTTTCAGTCAAAATAATTTCTACATGGCTTCCTGCAACTTTTTTTCACAGGATGTTTACTAGCAGATTAGGTAAGAGCGAAGCAAAAAGCATAATACAATGCTTTGAAACAACACACTCCTATAAACAATGTTTTCTCCAATATCCACACCAACAGAACAGGTTGTGCTCGTTCTCCACCAAATTTATCAGAGCATCTTTTGCCGGTGACACCACCAGAATGTAAAGCTGCACAGAAAGCTCATTCTTCAACAGTAGTCAAATGGTTAAACCTTAATTTTTAACAGTGCTTTTGTAATTCTACTTTTGGAGATACACTATTAAAACTTTTTTTTTTTTTTTTGGTTGCTTATGCATTAAGACTCTTAACACCGTTTGGGGGTGAATCTCTTCTTTTCTGCAAAGAGGAATAATAATTTAAAAAATCCCATTACCGCTTTTTCTTCACAAATCTAATATTAAAATCATAGAACCTATGAAGTGTCTGAATTGTTAGACGGTGTCGCTTGGGTAGTTCTACAAAACTCAGAAGAACTATGTAAAATTTACACTGCCCAAAGATGTGGCTCCATATACATTTTCAAAATGTATTTCTAAGACTTGATCAAAAATAACAGCCAGAGTGTATTTTGGACTCACTAGGCACACCAGTAATTTTAATCTCACTATTTTTGCCATCCTGTTTTGGGGACAACGGATTTAAAATGTGAGGAATACATAGCTTATTTGCTGGAGGCAGATAATTATGTATTTTGGCTCACACAAAAAAATCCCCATGATAGTAAGTAAAACTGGTATATTTGTTAAAGCTAAATTCCCCAAATTTGTGTGTGATGTAAGAGCAATCTGTTGTTACGAGATTTTGTAGAACTCTTATCCTAGACTGATGACTTCTAAGTCAAAGATCAGCTTAGGGGCAAATGTTAAGACAAAGTTGAAATGTACCATAACTGATTATAGGAGGAAAAAAATCCAGTAACCACAGTTTAAATTATATAAGAAAATACCACTTTGGGTCCTAGAAGCAACCATTTTTGCATCATTGTATTAAAACAAAAAACCAACCCAAACTGAGTAATGCCAGACTGCTGATTCTGCAACCAGCGTAGATTGCCAGATATATTCACGGTCTGGTTCTCGGCTGTTTCGTACCACTGGATGTGGATCCACAAGACATTTGTATTTCATTTCACATCTTTTCAAAAAGAAATATAAATGGTTATGCCCACCGATCTGCCTTAAAAAAGATGCCTTTCCAAGTTTCAGAAGAACATACCAGTTGTAACAACGTTTTGTTGCTGTAAAGCACTACCTTTCTGAGAATGTCAACATGCTCTATAAGCAATAATCAATTCAGCCTCACACACCTGTGTTGGGTAATAGATGTTTTCTCTCAGTTTCAACAAGGAGTCATAAGTTCAATGATTTGCTCAAGGTCACACAGGAAGCCTGACAGAGCTATGAATCTCAATCTTGACTGTCTTTCTCACTATCGTCCTACCAGATAAGCACTGAGAACTTTAGAGATACAGCGCTCAGAAAGAATTACCTACATAAAAGCCCATAAAGTAACAACATCTAGTGAGAGAGCTGCCAACTATTCAGTAATATATTAGCGGTAAATCTAGTAAATCTGATTTCTTTTCTGTGTTAGCTGAAGAATAAACTAGACACAAACCAATTGTTTGTTTAGTAAAAGGCCACAAAACTAACACTGACAAGTTCCACTTTTTTTTTTTTTTTTTTTAAATAGCTTAGAGGGCAACATTGACGGCTAGACAGAGCTTTTGAAAGGCTGGTAATGAACACTGGTGAAAATACAAGACCTTGTATGGGAACATAAAGATATATTAGCCTAAAATTTACATTTAAAATTACATGGCTCTAAGCATGGAAAAGTTTAAAATCTTTCCTAACTAAAAATGATGATTTAGTATCATTTGGATGCAGATGAGCCAAAGGATTTTGTTATTGCAAGTTTCCAAAAAACTGCTGACACATGTTAAAATAATACAGCTTTCTCGTCAATATTTCATTAAATAACGGCCCTGGTAAAGACAATTGTGTTGAATTTTGTTTTAATAATTTTGGAGCTGCGGTAAAAACAGATGAAACTTAAACAGCAGATAGCAATGCCACACATGGTGTGTGTCTTGGGAATCTTACTTTTCACACAGCGCTGCTGCAAGCGGCATGCATTTACGTTTGTAGGACCTACAGTACTGGGTGTGCTGCAGATTATGGCTATTGTTACATTTTGTCACTGATGTCTAGGGTTACTTTTTTTCATGCCCCTCTTACCTTGACTGCATAATTGTTGAGAGGATCTTTTGCATAAGAAGCTGGGTAGTAAACTGCATCGCCTGCCTCGCAGCACGGCTTGTCACTGGTTAGCCTGAAATCCGACCAGCTGTCCACCCCGAATCGCAGCTGGTCTTTTTGTCCAGCCATGAACAAGTCTTCACATTTAAGTGCCAGCTTCTTCAGTGAATCAGCATGAAGGCTTCGGATTTTACCAACCACCTCTTCTCGGTTCTCAATTCCTCGATAAAGTGCTTGCCTTTGTGGCTTCTGGACACCTTTGCCCTGCTTAGTCTGCGAGATGCGTCTCCCTGCTAGAGACTCCATGCTATTGGAACAGCGGTCCTTAATACTGATAGTGGTTAGGCTGGAAACACTGTTAGTTGCTGAGGTGGTTGCCCTTAGTTTTTCTGTAGGCCTGTCCAAGGAATCTCCTGACTCATTGTCCAGTACCTTGAGCTCCAGGCTGGCTGAAGAGCAGGCGCTGCTTGCTTCCCAGTTGGTGTCGATATCATAGGTGGGATTGGCCACGATGCACAGGTTGTTCTCCAGAGCCTGCTTCTGGAGATCCCTGGGAGTCGGCTCTGTGTTAGCTCTCAAAATTGTTTTCTTTGGCAGTGGAGGTGGTGTTGGCTGCAAGTTGTTCATTGTTTCCTGGTCTACTAGTCCTCCGAAGGCAATGGCATCATCCAAAGCTCCCTTCGGTTGCCTCGGCTGTTTTGGAGGTATCATGGCTGCTCTGGACTGTCCTGTGTAATAAGAAGATAAGAGTAATAGAAGGTTAAAGTACTTTGCACCTGCTGCTCATATTTGCACTCTGCAAAGCAGTTTAAGGCAAAAAAAAAAAAAGCTGACTAGAACCCCCCCAATATTTGAAGAAAACCTAAACACGTATCTGAACAGATGACCTAATTAGAAAGCAAAGGGGCCAAATCAGCATCACATATATATCGTCGCATACAGACGGTCTTTATTTGACCTTGGTCTGTATATTACAATCAGTTTCAGTGCTAGCAATGCTGGCATTTTACATCACATAGGATCAACGACAAAAAGTGCAAGCAAAAACCAAACATCAATTTTGGCACCCTGGCCAAATTCCAGTTTCAGTAAGTAATTCCCAGCCTCCCATAATTCCTTCTGCAGTCAATCAACTACAATATTATTCCTTACTTCCTATTCAAATGTGCTAAAACTATGGGTGGAGACTGCTAAGGGGCTTTGTGTACTGTCTCTTTGAGAGGCGCATTTCGCTGGCAGGTAAAGTGATTTTTTTAATATATTCTCATAGTAGTCAGTAAAACACTTGAGATCACTTGGATTTGAAATGTTCTAAAGAGGCTGAAAGCATTATTTCAGAATGGAAACCAGAAAACTTCAGACACAAATAACGTAATTTAGTCGGCGGTCACATTGGAAAGTCAGGATGGCCCTAGCAGATTCACCGGGTGAAAACAAGGACGTTAAGCCTACTTTCACTCAAGTTGACAAGTGTGTTGCCACTTCTTTCAATGAGAGTAGGTTCATATTTTGAGATTACAAAAACAGAAATATTTATTACCCTAAAATTTAAAATGCTTACCCTCTCCCTGTGACCGTAACTTTCTCTAATAGGTTTCCCTTACTCACTTGCCATGGGTACCTTTGTTAGCAATATTATGTTCACAGATAACATGACCTAGATTCAGTCAAAAGATTCCAAACGGCAGGTTATATACATGAAAGCACGGGATTTCCACTGACAGCCTGGTTTTAAGTATCTGTATGCTTCTAGGGAAGATAAACTTCCTGTCATGTGTTTTGGATGGCTTTTAGAGAAGACAATTATGTTTTATAACTGCCAGAGTCCTTGGAAACAAATAAATAAATGACAGTAATGTAAGAGAGAATAAAAAACAATAACCAGACAACACAAATGACCAACTCACTGCTCTGGGACAATTAAACAGTTGTTACTCGTATCCAAATGAGCAACATTGCTGCTCTTAATAATCAACTGCTACTTTCAGAGAAATTATTTTGTAAGTTTTCTACTACTCCTGTGAGGTTCATTGACTGTCATGGTAAGGTAAGAAGCCAGTTGTTACAGTTGCAACACAGCAGCCGTGAAATGGATGCTGTGTGTAATTGCAGTTGAGCATCTTTTTTAGTAAGGGAATAGCAAGTAGAAAGATACTATGACTATTGGACTATTTATAATATGTGCTGAATCCTTGTAAAGAGAGGACTGAACTGCAATGCTGAACCAAACTGGGGGGATCTCAGCTTCAGATTTGAATTACATCACTTTGGTCCATAATAAATAATAAAAGGCTTTGCAGTCTATGAAACTAAGATATTCCAAAGTTTAAAAAATTGAATTTTGAGCAGGAAATTCTGCTGCCTGATCATCAGGGAAGACTACAGAAAGACTATTGCTCTAGGTCATCACTTTTTAGCTACCACAAAATAAAAATATTCAAAGGCTAGAAATATTGGAGAATCCCTGCATATCCCTCTCAAATCATTATCAAGGTTGCTTAAAAAAATTTAACACTCAGAGGACCCTCTACTGCTCCTTTCTGATCTTGGTATTGCAGCGAGCGTGCTCTGCAGCTCTTCCTCTCACCGTTTGATATGCTGCAGCATATAACATTGGCCCCAGTTCAACAGTACAGGAACTCTATCAGGTACCTGTTGCAGAGACGAAGAGTGGCATGATTTAGAGTCAAAAGCAGAATTGTCCTGAGACAAATTCACTTCCACTCTGTCCGTATCCAGTTTTCTTATTCATCCAAATGTCTGTAGCCTTCCACATCTGCTTAATCTTACAAAATCTGTGACCTATGTACTTCTCCCCGGCAACATTCTGTGTTAAAGATCACTTGCCATTTTCTCGCTCTTACCCTCTTCCCCACTACGCTAAAATAGCCCAGCTGCTGGGGTTTTGAGAAAGGCTACTATTTCAGGAGGCAGTTTCCTAATACGCATTGCTTGTGTGACTTGCTAATCCAAGGACTGCACACATGCTAGAGGAAACAGTAAGGAAACAAATGAGAGCAAGATGCACATCTCGAGCAGCAGCAGCAGAAGCCCTCTCCAAGAAAGGTAAGATTTATAAAGGCGCTTCTTCTTGATTCTCTTATTTTCTGTCTGCTTTAATGGCCCTGTCCTCCAAAAGCCCTTCATACAGAGGAGTGGTGCGACTGCCACCAGTGACTTGGCCAGTTACTGCTTTTGCATAGCTATTGGAACTGTGACATCAAAACATAACTGAAGAAGGTCTTCGTAACCTGAAGTTGTCTTTGCAGATGTCTGGTGGGGGTGGCAGGATCCAGAGAACTGCATGTACAAGCCATTATGTAGTTACTTTTTCAAGTATTCTTGGCTGAGGAAAATCAGTTTGTAAATCATGTCATGTTACAGTGTAGTTTCTCACCACAAGAACAGATTTTCCATATTGAAATCTATCCATCTGTATTACGTGTTTGAAAAGCTTCGTATCTGGACTGTTTTTATGCTGAGTTCTTAACACTGTACATTTCTTTCACCCCACTGGGCCAGTCTTTCCAGCTCAGCTTTCCCCAAGCATGGCGTGATCCCGCATGTCTCACACGTTTTTAAATTCATTGTCTGGCAAGAAAAAGGTCATCTAAAATTTTGTCCCTGTAAGAGGCACAACGATGTTCTTTTGCCTAGAAGTACTTGCAGAGCATTTGCTTCCTTTCCTTGCCTATCATTTCCTTCTCCCCTTGCATGCTTAAAACCCATCATTTCCTTACCTATGGCACAGACTCTCCAACATTACAAGGTTCACCCTGAGCTACACTCTCAGGAGGCAAATGAAAAGGAGGAACAGGCACAGTACTAGGCTACCACTTACAGAGATCTTTGAAGTGGCTTCCAGACTGTTGAAAAACAGAAGAAATTTAACTCTTTATAGACAGCAGCTTTTGAGAGACCTTTCAGTAATTCTATAGTTCAAGAACATCTTCCATTATAGAACCTCACTACGCTATTTAAATATTAATATTTAAGTCTCCAGACACCATGCAAAGGTCTGAAACTCTAAATCAGCCCTTAAAAAAAAGCGTTTAAATTTTATTTTTCCAGGTAAATCATCAGACTTTGCATTGCAACCTGTTTATGTTAGTTCATGAAACTATCAAATCTGACACACTGAGCTGAGGTTTAATTCAAATTTATATTCCATAAGCATGTTTTTTCTTAATGACATGCTTAAGTATTGTTTAGATTTCTTGATAGTCCACGTACCTTTCTTTTTTGCTTAGACCAGATCAGCAGTATACATTGTCAAGAAATTTCAGAACTGTGAAGGAAAAGACTTCTTTAATTTGGAAAAAAACTAATGGTGAATCAGGCAAGCGAAGCGGGTGACATGCTGCATGCTTCCATCCTTCCTTGAATAGAACCGTTCCCGAGATGTATATTGCTCTACAATACATATACGGGTCCAGTACACCCCTGACAGCAGGCTTCTCCTGTACTTCCTCCAAACTAATTTTGCTTTTGATGTGGTAATCTACCCTGTGATCTCCTTTATTCTTGAAAGTGTTTTTCTGGTCATATGCCACTACCATTACTCATCCAAGGATAACGTTCTTTGTGGGAAGATGTGAATTAGAAAACAGAGTTGAAAACAATACTCTAGTACTCACAGTAGTAACTGGGCTATTGCCACGATTACGAGCTCTGTTGTCAGTTTTGGTGACCACCACAGTACTCCTTAATCTCTAATCCCCTAGCATAGGGATTTAGATGAATGAACAGGACCCAGAGGGCTAAAATGGCCAAAATGACTCTCACCTCTGCCATTCTCCAGCTTAGCACATCAGTTTGACAAAAATTTCACGTTCTGCATTGCCAAGGAAAGCAAAAATTAATAATCATGCATGTACAATATGGGTAACCAATCTTCCAAGACCACATCTATCAAAACCCCAACAGAACTAAAATCAAAAAATCAAAACTGTGCACTCTCTATAGTGGAGACCAGCAAGAAAGAGACATTTTGAGTGGCTCTTCTGTGTCTGCAGGAAGCCCGCTGTAAGATGGGGCTGGGCTGATCACACAGCTGCGTCTTGGAGCGGTCCAACAGCGCTGGCTTTGGCAGCCTCTGCTGCCCTGTTTCTCCCCGCAGCCAGGAACAGAGTCAGACGTCCCAGTAATTCTCATGTCGGTACACCCCCATTTCATGTTACAAAGTCCAGGTATAAAGGCTGATTAAAGTATTCAGTAAGTAAAACCCACAGGTTGGCCACCTCCACTGTACAAATTCCCCCTCTGTACCCTTGTCCTAGTACCTTTTCCCTCCTTGTACTTGGATATTGACCATCCTTTGCAACCTGCATTTTTATTATAATGCAGAGCCTGGAAAAGGTTTTTCTGTATAAGCAGCAGATCAATTATACTGATCTTTAATAGCAGTACAAAATACACCACTCCTTAATAAACTCTTAGCCTGACCGATAAAAATAACCAAACCATGAAAAGCACGACAAAGGTGTAAAAGGATCTTCCAGCCACTCCAAAAGCAACCCTCATGCTTCACAGCCCCAATTCCAACAAACACCGTACATGTACAACACTACTATTCTATAAAATTATTCAGTACACAAATTTACATGAACATGATTGTTAATCCTGCATTATACTCAGTTATTGACATGTTTATTGTTAATTTATTAGATAAAAATCTTACCAGAATGATAATATGTGTAACAGCAAGGAAGGCTAATATTTATTAACTAACATTCATGATGCACCTCCAGTTTCTCACCAATAGTTTGAGACTCTGCACAGAACAGATAGGCTGCAGGTACTAGATAAAGAAAAACTTCAGATCCGACAGCTTGTCTGCCTTGGTGACCTGTCAGGTCTTGCTACCCACCCTCCCATTACACCATATTAAAGAGATTATCTGTACTAATTATATATTATACAAAGTGCATCAGACTGATACTATAATCACTGTCTGTCACTGAACTGTCAGTTTTAGTCAACAATGATTTCACTGCCTTATTTATAGCCTGCCTGAAGCACACTGCCCTGGTCTAACTTACTGACTGAGGTAATATTCCATGGCCAATGCTGTGATTTGGGATTTCTTCCAATGTCAGCAATCATAAAACCTAGAAACTTAGCCTCACTTTTTTCACTTGAGAGGAGAAAAATAGCTGATAATAAAATAACCTAGTCTTTTTTAAATTATAGAAATACTATCCTGAGTATATTGAGAATGTCTTAATCTACTTACGGTGATGCCAATTCAATCAGGTCAATTTCCCCAACAAATTCCAACACAGATAGAAAAATTCAAAGATTTGCAAAGGGAAGGATTTTAATAATCTAGTCTGTTGTCTTCCTTACGATACGCTACAGGGCTTACCTGAATTAACTTCTCTTAGAATAAGGGCACACCTTAAAAAAGAAACATCCAGGCCCTACCTTACACATTGGAACATTTGTTTCTGCATCTAGATTCAAGCAGCAGCCACTGGCTCTTGTTAAATGTGTTGTTGGTTCCAAAAGGTATCCCTTATCACAGTTCTGCTCACCACATCAGCATCCACACCACGATCAAGCCAGACTCTGTTGCTTTGATAAGCCAAACAGATTCAGCTTCTTGAATTAGTCCCTATAAAGTGCCTGCCACAATACTAGGCATTTCCAAAGCTTTTCTTTAGAGCCTGTACAATTTTTTTTAAACTTTCTTCTTAAACTGTGGTCACCAGGGCTTGACTATGGCCACGGCAGTTGCAAGGTAAAAATGAGATATACATAACCTCTCTGCTCCTACTGAAGTTTCGTCCTCTTTATATATCCAGGAACATACTGGCGTCTTCTATCCTATCACCATGGTGGGACCTCAGGTTTCCTAAAAGCTCCAAGTCTTTCATGTTATATCTGATTCCCAGAGGAGAATCCTCTCTCTCGTAAGGCTTGCCTGCATTTTTTTTTTTTAATTCCTAGATGTATGATTTTACATGTGAGATGAACTGAGAAATACAGCCCATATTTTATACATGAGCTATTCTCAAATTGTGCATCTGCAGTTTGGTTCCTGACAAATACTTGCTGGCACACTTGGAGTTTTGTGTGGAGCAGAGGAAGGCCAAAACTAAATATATTTGAGGGCAGTACCTGATATAAACTACTACCTGATTGCAGACAAAAATGCACCAAAGCTTTCCATTATTTCTGTTCATAAAATTTCACGTGACGTGTCACAGCTGAATATTAGACATTTATCAAAGTAAGGACATAATACCTGCTTTTCAATAAAAAACACAGAATATGTACTAGATTAGTATTTAAAAAGTGAATATTGTGCATTACGCTGCAAATTATGATGTTCAAATGACATGTTTTACAAACTACAAACTGTAGTATGTAGCTATAAAAAGGTAACTGTAGATACAATTGCAGTTGAAGCAGGAGTCAAATGTGATGTAACTTAATTAAATTACATTCTCATCCTTTCTTTCAGTTACACACACCAGTATTTGTTAATTCTACAAAATCTATGATTTTGCTGTTCATGTGATGCAAGATGTGAAGACGAGTAGGAATTATTCTTTATCCCTACCTAGTAATCTCTTGATGGCTATCCAAATTAGAAAGTGAGGTCGCTCGAATAAACCAGAAAATGTTTGAACGGCAGCCCGAGAACTCAGTGCCATTTAGGGTAGCATTGCTTTTAACAACAAGCAGCAAGCATGCCAAGACAGACCAAGTCAAGCCTAAGAGTTAGTTTAACTCTTTCATACCTAAAATTTACTTTGGTGACAGCAAACCTGAAGGTGTCCCAAGGATGAGGAGATTTTGCATAAAACGCTAAGGGGTTCAGTTTTATACTGTTTTACAAAGGAGCATTCACACATAGGAACAACAGTGGCAAAAAACGAGGACTAGTGGAATGGATCACAGAATCACAGAAGCATTTAGGTTGGAAGGGACCTCTTGAGATGGTGAAGTCCAACATTCCCTGCTCAGGCAGGGGGAGCTGGAGCAGGTTGTCCAGGACCACGTCCAGCATGTTTTACGTATCTCCAGAGACCGAGACTCCACAACTTCTCTGGGCAACCTGTTCCAGTGTTTAATGGTATTTATTATATTCCCATGAGTTTACTACTCCCAGTTTGTGAGTTGCTGTGGGAAGGACAGAGATTCACAGACAGAAGCACATCTGACTGCACAGTGAAGCAGTTGCCATCAGGTGTAACATCTTGCATAAGATTAAGTAAAGATGTAAACAGAAGATTCACAGTATCATTACTTTGGCTATGAAATGCAAGCAATCCCTTGACTGTATGAGTACTCAGGCTAAAAAAACCAGCAATATCACCGTGAGGAACAAGCAATATTTCATACATTAAATGATACCTTAGCTTGATCCTTTTATATGTCCATTTGGTTAGGAACATGGCCTGACCATGCTCTAAATAGTTTTGATGTAGCTAGATCTACTGCCTGGATTCTATCTGTAATGTAGCTACGTCCTAAATATAGAAAATACATAGACAGAGACATATATATCTCAATGAATTGAAAATAATTCATTAGATCTTTGAATAATTCCATCATAAAAATGTAAATTTTAGTTTTCCTTCTTGAAGTTAGAATTTCTTGGTAGATGTCAGGATGGCTCTTGGGCAGGATATTTTTCCTCTTTATGCTTTATAAACAATACCTAATTAATGTTTCATTAGCAGAACACACAAATAAGTTTGCCACCAATTCACATTTAAGCAAAAAAATGCAACAATATCGCTAACTGTCTAGGGAATGTATGCACCTGTGGGTTTAAAATTTAGTCCTTGATCCCTTGACCCTGTGTGGACATGCCAACCCCCTGTACTTGTGAGCCATCTCAATGCAGTCAGTTTACTCGTGTCCAAATACTTCCTAAGTTGGTATGCTTAACAGGATTGGAGCCTCACTGAAGAACATGTAGTCAGATATTCTTTAACATCAATAAATGAGAGATTTTTATTCTTCTAGAAAATATGGCTGTAGGTATTCCTAAATTTGCAGTACTTCAAATCAAAATGCTTTAGAAAATTGAGCAGATAATATTGATACTATATATATCGAGAGATGCTTATTTGTCTTGCTCACTTATCTTCCAGAGAAGCCCTGACACATATATCTTTTTAATACGAGTCAGGAATTCAGTGATAGTTGAATAGACGGCGCGGTACCTTCACGACATTCGTATCTTAAATTTTTTTGAAGGAGCAAAAAGTAAATTCTCAGCCTAGGATAAGAAAGGTTTTAGTCAACAAAAAATGATGACAAATATTTTAGCAGTTATTGATGCTGTAAAAGAAAAAGCCCTATCTTTTGTTCAGGTTTGGGAAAATACTAAAATCTACTTCTTATTTCTAAAAAATTTAGGGAATTTGCTCTGTATTTTAAACCTCTCTGGTAAAAATTCCTCCAAATAGATAAAACAACATGTCTTCTAAAAGTATTTGAGATGTTTATCATTAAGGGCAATTAAAAGACAGTTTTAAAACCATAGGAAAGAAAACCTTTGAGTTTGTTGAATCTTCACCTTCTTGGTTGTCGCTCTCAGAATGAGACAACATCCTTTTATTTTCTACAAATTAATATTAGAAAGTTTGTCTTTAAAAACTCACCTTATGAAAGTGTATTGAGCTGTTCAGAAGACAAGGTTCTTCACAGCCTGGAAAGGTATCCAAAATCTGATTTAATTTAAATTTTCTTCTACGGGAATACACTTACCTAGATTGCTGTATGTAGCACTGCAAGGATTCAAGTCAGGAGAATTTGAAGCTTCTTCCTTTTCTTCCTCCCCTTGTGGGACACGGGCAGACGATACTGGTATGACCGAGGCACTGCCGCCATTGTCCTGCTTCACAAACACGGCTCGAGGAACACGTGGGGATAAATCCTCCAGTGTTGTATCATCGGGCACTTGACTGAAACAAACAAAACAAAATCACCTGGAGACCAAAGCTGCTAGATCCTACTGGCAAAATACCAGATTGGGCATTAAGTATCTTCAGGAAAGGGAATGAATGGGTAAAGAAATACGCTCCTTTTGCCCTTCTTTTCTTAAGGACAACTTTCGACAATATTTATTTTCCTTAATAAGAAGAATCAACTTTTGACTGAAATAGGAACATGTAGTAAGTAGTTCATGCCTTTCATACAAAAAGGGTAATAAAATTCTTTACAGCTGACTACAATCAACATACGTATGGATATATATGCAGGCATGATTCTGCATAAAACGTGTAGGACTCACAGGACAGCAGCAGAGTTTAAGGTGCTTTATACTGATTGGAACAATTTTGCTTCCAAGATTCCAAGGTTTAGCAAGGGGGCTATTAAGTCTTAATAAATGTATAAAACTTTATTGACACTTTTTCATATACTGGTAGGATTTTGGGAACGGATGCTTAGGGAAACAGACTGGTAGCTCATCTAAGCCAGTAACCTATTTCCCATATAAAATTATCCAGGATTAAAATCCATCGGCATTAGGCCAACTGCAAAAGGCTATGACGACATTCCTCTGTGCTTGCTCCTAGCTATGAGGTTTTAATCAAACTGTGATGACTTATAGAACAAAGCTCTGAAAATCATGGATTCAGTTGGTTTCCATGGATATATTTATTGCAGTATGATTTAAAAATTATGCGTTATATTTGTATTAAAAAATGTTCAGGTTTATTCAAAAACCCCAATCTTATTGAAAACATAGCAGCAGTTACAAATAATATGCCACATAAAACGTCAGACCAAAAATCTTTCTGTGTCTTTATGCTCTCACTCACAGAGACAAATACTCGTTATAGGCCAAGTCTCAAGACCATATGTCCTATTCACTAGTTCTCATAATTACAGCCTGATCAAATAGAACAGCAAGAACTTGAAGTACTTGTGACTTCCATGAGGGATAGAAGTAAGGCACTTCCTTCAAAAGATGATCACCACAGCATATATCTGTACAGATATTAAATTTTTGTGGTAAAGATTTAAAACTTACATAACTTCTGATGAACAGAAACAAAAATTACTCATTTTTAAATGGGCAGAGCAGCTGAGTTTCTGTAATACAAATCCTTATAGTGGAAAGAGACATTACAGCCTCAAAGAGTTAACATAAATTATAGGCATACGTCTCCCTACGCCAAAGCCAAAATACTGCAAATCATGATAGACAATCTTCTAGCAATCCCAGACTACAAAGAATAAAACATGCCAATACTTTGCATAACACAAGACCCCATGTATGGTGCAGCGCGCACATGCTGTTTCTACTCAGACTCATGAATTTTAACTGCAGGCTGATACAAACAGAACTCATTAGAACTTGTTAGTAAAAGGGAAAATGGCATAAGTTCAAAAAGATGTAATCTTTAATCAGCATAAATTTTTTTGTTCGTTTTTAGTACCATGCATAGGAATGGTGTGAAGAACATTCCATGTGCCATAAATGTATCCACATTAAAGAGTTAACCCAATATATTTTCAGAGTAAAGCATACATAAAATAAAAGCAGTAACAAGGCTCTCAAGACGATGAGAAATTAAAGGCTTGTAGTTGCTGTAAATCATATACAGACCTGCATTCCTCAATAAGAATGTTTTCTTTAAGAAGTAGTAGTTTCTAGTAGCTTTACAGTTCTGTCATTGCCACAAACCAGGAATTACCATATCTCAAAGTAATTTTTTTAGTATCGATTGGTGAGGTACAGAACAGACTCATTCTTCAAACCAGACACATGCAAGCACATACACTAAACCTAAGCTCAGAAGCATTTTGCCAAAGTAAACCAACAGCTAGAAAGGAAGAAAGAAAAAAATACCAACTCACCCACTGTACTCACTCACACAATTCCCCATTAAAGGAAATTCTTTCAGGGCCTTCTTGAGTCTTTTAATCATGTCTTGAAACTCTGGCGAGCCATTGATTCCACAGTGTTCTGATGTGCTACAAGTTGTGCAAGCTGTAAGCAACAGGGCTGAACTCTGCACAGAGTGATACACCTACTGCACCTTAATGTTTACCTTAAGGGGTTGGTCCCGGGGACTTGCCAAAGCGCCCCAGGAAACCAGTTAGTTACAGCCCTGCCTTCTTAACTCTTCCACTGCCTTCATGCATGAAAAACAGTTCACAGTCTGCTACATCACTGTTTTGGTATGATAACTATGGTCTTAGTCATGTTAATTAGTCAGAGAAAAGCAGGTTCAAATTTCAAGGGCAGTTAAGAACTCAGACCAACCTACTCTTAAAAGTGAGAGAGTATCTCAAATCTGTATTCCAACCAGTTTCAGTGTCTGAATCCAGTACCTTTTAAATCACAGCAATTAGATGTCAGGCCATGAAATCCGTGGGGAAATACTGTTAAGCTACAGGGAATCAAAGATGGAGATCAAGCATACATACGCAGTGCACGGGCTCAACCAGCAAAAAGCCAGCACGTAATCAGCTCCGACATAACACAGAAGGAAGAAAAGGGGAAAACATCCTCACTCAGTAAGCTGCAAGAACCAAATTCCCAATTGCTTTTGCTTCATGAAACAGTTAAAACCTACTGGTTTTCGAGAAAAGTAGAACAGCTGATAAACAAGCAGTTCTCTGGGATTGGAACCATTAAAGCTTGATAACTTTCTATCTGCTTCTTGATAGCAAGTGATACTTAAAGCTATCTCCTTATTTGGGATATTTATAGATATTTTGCCAGGATGGATTCTTTGATGCCTTGCATAAGAGCACATATTTAGCTTTTACCATAGTGGGCGCAGCCTCCTCTGTCCGAGCGTTCTTCTTTTCACTTTTTTTATTTCAAAAGCAAGCCTCATAGAAAAAGAATTACCTTAGAGAAAGAAATTACTCTGCTCCTCGGGCACGTGTGGCTGAAACTAAAGAACTATTCAGTAAATGGAGGGAGCAGCCCTCTGCACACAGAGAACACATTTGTTTTCCTAAGAACTTGAGATTACGTGCAGCAAAGAAACTTGCCATAAAAATGACTGTCCTTCAGATAACATCCCACTGAATTCACATACTTGTCGTTCACATGTGCACAAGCTCAGAATGGTTTTAAAAGTGATTTTTCTGCAGGGACAAATGTCCTGAACGCCTTACCTCAGGCTCTCCTCCTTCACAGCTTTTGGAGGATAGCCAGAAGATGATGTGGTCTAACTTGCCTCAGTCTTCTGGGAATAGTAAGATTCCAGAAAGCAGCCTGCGCAGTGTGTTAACTTTTGTAAGGACAGTGGAACGACAGCTACTGTATGACCTGTGTTTCCCTCTAGTCAGAGCGCGACTTCTCAATTAGAGTGATTAATAAACAGCAATGAATACAAGGGAGATAACACAGAATACTTCTAAGAAGTGATTCTGGGACTACATGCCTGAATTAGGGTCAGATCTAGAGGACAAGCTGAGGGAGTATACCTCTGTGTAGGACAGCATATAAATCCAAGTGGCAGAAATTAGTGACAGAAACACAGAGAAAAGCTGATGTGGCCACAGACCCAGCTGAGACTCTCATCTCCTGCCCGAGCCACCATCAGCAAAGCAGTCATCAATGGTAGTTGTACAGTTTGCCATGAGAGCACCCGAGAAGGAAGATGACTTAGTGTTACACAAAAAAAGTCTGTGTAACTTGTAGATATATTTAATTTCAAAGAGATCCCTTTGAGATCCCCTCAAAGCCCTACACTTTTAAGCTAATAAAGCTGATATAAAGCCTAAATTGACTGAATAATGCTTGGGGAAAAATGCAGAGTGGTTAATGGCTCGAGGGCGGTCAAAGGCCACCTTACACAGGAACTTCCACTCACAACACAGATCATTTTATTTCTGCAAAACACTGAGCAAAGATGGTCAGTGCCCAGGTTTCAACTAGAGTACATTATGGGTATGCAAGTCGCATTCCAGTGGCTCGTGCAGTTCAGTTCCTCATCACCACCAACAGCCAGAAGTAGTCACTTAAGAGGAAAGTGAAAGCAACTTCTCAGATGACAATCTGAAATAACTAAGCCATAAAGTTTATTCCTAATTCTTATTATTCAGAAGTTGGCTTAGTCCTGAAGCATGAGAATTTTTTTCTTTTTAAAACTTGTATAATGCGATGTTTGCACGGATAATAGGAATACTTTCGATAATCCATTAAAGACATCCTACTAAGCTCTTTAGTGTCAGTGAAACTGAATGGCAATGAGTTCCACAGATTAACTGTGCATTATAAAAAACCCCATTTTTCTTTATACATTTTAAATTCTCGGTCTTTCCATTTTACAGACTGCATTAGAGGAATTAAGAACAATAATACATGATTTACCTTTTCTTAATCTAAATTTATAAAATAATAAATCCCTTCTACTTGGTTCTTTAACAGTCCTCAGCGTTTACAAATCTCCACATAAAACGTTACCAAACTTTCTGCTTAATGAATGTGCATAATTTCCAATTCTGTTAGCATATACATATTCTAGAGAAAAAGCTCCCAAAAGTTTTTCATTGATGAAAATGCGTAAGACAGGTGGTTAATGCTCTTAAGAACACTGTTGAGCACTGCTGACTAAGGTAAATAAACCTTGCTGATATCTAGAAAAGAGCAAGTCAAGATAGATTTGTGGAGAAGGGGCAGTTGATAGTTCTGCCTGAACTTTTCAGGTGAGAATTTCTCCCGTTTCAGTAGACTTGCTCAAGCAACAGTTTTCTCTTCAGCAATAAGATCCTCAAATTCTCCTCACCAATTTATGCAAGCTACATTTAAAAGGTTTTCGATTCAGGTGAGAACTTTACCTTAAGACTTATACAAAGGGTCCTCTAAACTGGAAACGACTTTGTTTTAAACAAAGGTCCAGGCCACAGATGACGTCCACTGTGGCACATGCCTAGCCCCTGTCACCTGTATTTTTTTTGTTAAATAACAGTTAGTGGCACGACAGAAATTACTAAAAAACCCACTGAAGAGATAACCCGTTTGGAGCCTTTTAAGTCTTGGTGCTCTAAATCACCTCACTGGAATTACCTTTCTCCGTTGCCTGTATGTGGAAATCCGATGCCTAACTCTGACTGTTGAAATGATGTTTGGCTTACTGTCATTTAAAGCAAACAGTGTGAACAGTTGTCAGCAACCTCATGGCAATCAGTACAACAAAAAGCATTAGAGGAACACTTATACTACTGAAACGCTTCCGTGGCAGGCAGGAACCGTGCAAGTCTTTGTCCAATTCTCTAGAAGATTCTCAGCCGTCACTGACATTTATGCTAATTTCAGGAGCAGCAATCTGGCTGGAAGGTAGTCAGGGTGAGCTATGTGTACAATGAGTGTGGCACTGGGGTAAGATTTGAAGGATAACAAGGCATTTCCAAAAGCTTTGGTATCTGTGTCCTCTGATATGTATAGGGCCCATGAAGAGCGCAGTGAAATGCCCCAAACTGCTCATGTAGTCTGTAACCGTAAGAGAGAAGCATGCTTTTTAAGAAAAATGTTCAAAACAAATCTTTCAGACATGCGTATATGTATATACCTACACGCACACATATAATAAGCACTTCACTCCTTTTGAAAGCAAGGTGTAACAACAAGATGCAGCTATGGAACACCAGAACTCCTATCACTCGATTACTAGCTTAGCTTTGCATCCTTTTGACAAAGTTAACCATCATTTTAGAAATTAGATTGGTAATCCCAACTTTAGCTACGAAGAAATGCTTTCAGTCAGAATGGCATGAATATACAGATCTCACTACAGGAAGTATTTCAGTGAACATAGAGTTTTATCTTCAGTTCATCCAAGTCTGGCCCAAAGACTCCATAAAGGAAAGTTATGGCTGACTTGCAGCTATGAAAGGAAAGCATTCAGTTTAATACGTAACTGAAATGGAAATGCCTGTGCACAAATCAGTTGTGCCTTGATTTACAAAGGCAGTGCCATCTAAAACAGTGCTGAATGAGATTTTACTTCAGCTGTGATGTGGTTTATGAAGATAGGAAAGGAACAATCAGAAGGCTGTGCTGCCGTTTTCTTTTAGGAAACATCTCAATCTAAAAACCTGCTGCTGGGTACAAGCAGTGATCTCTCAATGAAGGAGAGGAGAAACCTGCATCTTGTGAAACTCCGATAGCAACAGTCTGATGCACTAGACAACAAAGCCTTTGAAGAATCTCTTTTTTAAACTTCTGTGTGGATTCCACGCTGTGCTGTACCACCTTCATCAATGACAGTGACTTCGGCCAGAAATATCATGATTTTACCTTTTTAGAGGTCAGTTTTAGGTTTTGCCTGAGAACAACTGCTGCATCATGAACTACAGGTGTCCTAAGAACACCTGATTTTCATTCCAGTTAATGATAAAGATGATGCAACTGCTGATTTTTAGCAAAACATTAATCTATTTACAAATTTTTACTAAATCTAATCCATTAGTATTTGCTAGCTCCTTTTGAACCACCGTATGTGCATCCTGGCATCAAACAGAAAGAAACAATCACATGGATAAAACAAAACCAAGTTCTTTTGTGTAACAGAGAGATAGTTTTCAGCTTTCCAAAGAACCGAGTATTTTGCAAGTGCTATTCAAAGGGAAAAAATGACTTTTCTAGTAATAACTTTAAATACCTTCAGCCCTGTTTTGTGGTTATGTTATCAATCTTTAGCAGCATATTGCATCTTCATTTAATTTGCTTTCAAGACCCCCCAGTAATCTGGTATTTTTAAAGCTTATCTTATTTCCCAGGTCATCAGTTTGTTTTTTCTGTGAGCTTGCTGTGGTGGGCATTCTGAGTTAGAAAAGGGGAATCACTGATTTCATTGGTTGCTATTTTCACGTCTTCTTTTCTTTTCCTCTAAGCCTCTGAAGATTTTAAACATCTTTTCCATGCACATATTTTAGCCTGAATTAACACTAACCTCCTACTAATACCTGAAAAGTTAACACAAAACAAGTATAGCATCTCATCTGTTGCGTCTCTTGCTTGTGCAAAAATGGAAGTTGACAATCCTGATTCTCACCTACTGGGTTATTAAAAACAAAAGCCAAGACTCTTAAACAAAACAAAAAAATGAACTTAATTTTTTGGCACTATAAGGTTTCACTTGGTCTCTTTAACAACATTAAAAATTAGGTAAAAAACCCAACTAACTTAAGGCATCAAATTGCATCAAGGTAACTAAATATAACAACTGAAGGATAAAGATATCCATTTGTCTAGTGTTCCCACAGTGTATTTCTCAGCACCTCTGTGTATTTTCTTTGGAATTTGTAGAAACCATAGAACAATAATGTTAGAAGAAATTCCAATTCTAATACTGGGAAAATTCCAATTTTCACCAGGGAAAATTGTGAGATACGGTTTTAGCCAATATCACCATGACTTGCAGAAAAATAAAAAGTAAACATACTTTTTAGAATAAGTAAATGAGGCAGGACAGAATGACCGACTGCCTTCAATAGTAAGGGCAGAAGGTATTCCAGTGATAGTGCAAGCATATAAAACATTATAACAGCACTGCCTCTAGGGTAGTCCAAGACAAGTGCCAACTATGACCGCAGCCGTTAGCTTGTTATCGCCCTTTACCACCAAGATAAGCAGCTGCTCCTTCCCGACTGGTCCCTCTGTCAGATCAGCGAATTGATCTGGCAGAAAAATGACTGCAAAGTTATTTTTTACTTGGATCACTTCCCCAGCCCAGTTCACCACAGGTGACCACATGAACTGTCTTGCCAGCTCAAGAGCAGGGCACTAAGGAGGTGGGAATGAGAGAGTCTCCTGATGGCAACGTATTCGCTAATGCTGCTAAAAAAAGTTGGTGTAAGCCAACACTTCCTCTAGGTTCCCCTGGAGATAACAGACAAAATGGGTTCCTCTAAAGGGGGTTAGAGAGCACAAACTTCTCCAATTCTTTAACTTGCTCTCTAAAGCTGCCTACTTGCCCCCATTTAATTTAAGGTATGTCTAGAGAGACCAGACTCCTGTCAAGGGTTATTCTAGCCCTGGGTACATTCCCTGCTGTTTTCAGCCCTAAACTGTAAATACAGGGACACCCCCTTTTGTCATCGCCCACACCCCTGTATTATTGTGGTATTGTACATCTTGCAGAGAAGCTGAATGCTTACAGCTCCTACTGCCTTTAATAGTTTGTGAAAGTGCTTAATGTTTCTGAAACTCATACTCACAACTTGTACTGCGATTTTTTTAGACCTTATTTGTTAATTTTCATGTACTTTGCTTTTTTAGTAAATGAAATTCTTGACTCTGAGATTGCAGTTCATCTGAGTCTGCAGAAACAGACACTACACTAAGGTTTTGGAGACCATCCTATCTTGTATTTGGAGCAATTACTTTAAATGTACATCTACAGAAACCAGCTTTACATCATACCAAGATAAACCTTATCACCACCACATGACAAAACCCAAAGCTGTCCACGTCTGACAAAAGGCAAACAGTCTGAAAAGTAGATCTGATCTTCCTGAGAATGCTATGTCTGTGTTCCCAAGATGTGATTTGAAAGTGATTTAATTACACTTGGTGCAAATGGTCACTCTTGGTTAGTTTAAGACATAGTTATTTTACTTTAAGACAAGCAGCAATTGGTTTATCGTAAGCTCAAACTACGCTCACACAGAGATCTCTCTTAGTTTAAGACAACTTTAAAACCATTTAAACTAAAAATCACTGCAACTTTCTTGTACAGACAACAAAGAAAAACAAAGAACACTGCCATGATACATTTTCTGAGGCTCACACGTAGCTGAAACTTTACAAAAGCTTTAATTTCCTACCACTAGGTCATTGTTATTACGAATTAAATAATGCAAGTTTGACGCTATTTTGGAATTTGTATGACAACATTGGGGGACATACTCTAGTGCATCCACAGCTGTGGTCTGCACTCAGTGAAATGCCCACTATGCCCATGTGACTGCCTGCAACAAATGTCTCCGGCCCTCTTGGCTTATGTACTGTCCTGCGCTGTAGGGACTCAGTGGTATGTTGAAAACAATGGGTATCTCGAAATAAATATGGTCCTTGGTGTTCAGAGACAACCAAGAAAGCAGCTGTACCCGTGATAAGGGAACAGACACTTTTAAACCGACAGACCTAAAATGTTCAACTACCGTAAACTTATAGGAGTAAAATAAATATCTACCGGCCAGATACTTTCACAGAAATTGAAACAACGAATCATTTCAGTAATTTCCGATTTGAAAAAAAATTAAAAATTAAATCACTGAACAAAATTGTTAGGCAGAAATGGAGCAACTAGCTCTACTGAATCCAATACTGTTAGGGGACAAAGTATATTCATCGCCAAAGGCCTTGCAAAACAGAGATAGATTATTTTATTGATAATCTAATTCTGTTATTTCCTTTTTACATGGCAGTGCTGCAGTGATGTTGCAGCGCAGCATCAAGTTAATTAGCATCTCTTGTATTCTTGGGTAGGTGAGATAAAGTTAGCACACCACCTTTTTATGAGTCACAGACCTTTTAATTTCTATTATCCTTTTCAATAGTTCCTTCTATTTCTGCAGAGAAATTCTTTAGTTTGCTATAACATAAGAACATTTTCTTAAACTAGAAATCCAGGAAAATGTATCTGATTCAATGTAACATGGCTGTTGTAACCTGCGATACAAAGTCCAAATATCAGGTACTGCTTCTAGTAATGTTTTAAAATCTTTTCTGATCTCCAACGTAACACAAACATTTTAAAAATATGCTTTAAGTTACCTAAAATAAATACACTTTGAAAAAATGACACTTAATGCAGTAAAACTGCTTAATCTCTCCCTTTTTTAGCAGTATATACAGGACAGTTCACAACTGAATAAGCAACTAAAAAAAGATGATCAGCTTACCTGGGGATTTTCTTGGGAATCTGAGGTGGTGATGAATGGCTCGTGATTTTCTGTTCAGAGCTCTCTGGAGACTTTTCCTGCGTTTCTCCTTTGTCTTTTGCTAGCGCATCTGCGATAGCAGCCTCCACTCCGCTCTTGCTTTGATGATCAGCCTTTGGTTCAGCTTGTGCCGGTTCACATCTATACATAAAAACAATCGACGGCTTCTCACTGGAGTCTGACTTTGCCTCACTGAACCAGTGATGACGCTGAACTGGTGGAGGGGGGAGCATATGTATGACGGTTCCATCGAGACCCACCAATTTTCCTTTCTCTCTTTCTTTCTCTTTGTCTTCCTCATCATCAGTTTTCCTGCGGCGGAAGAAGCTCTTAAACGATATCCAGCGTTTGGGTTTCGCGTCAGCAGCTCGCCGACCTTCCGAATGAAGGATTGACTCAGCCTCTGTCGACCTGGTGGGACTGTTTGGTTTGGTCCAGTTGCTGAAATGTCTTTGCAACAAGTTACTTGCGTGATAGGGTGAAGAAGTGGACCGTGGAGGAGGAAATGGCGGTGCTTGCTCTGTTTTGGGACTCGTGGTGTTTGAGGTGGCTCTCGGGAGCTTTGGAGACTGAGTGGCAACTGGCTGTGAAAGCGAATCTTTCTGCATTTTAGCGGCAGTGTTTTCCACCGTCTTAGATGACTCCATTTCAGACTGTGACGTAAACAGAGATTTGGGTCGTACCAGGGTGTTTTTAGTAGCATCTGCATCAGGGGGTAAGGAATACAGTTCTTCTACGCTACAAGACTTGGGTCCAGACTGAGGTGTTTCTGGAGGAGACTGGGGAGGCTGGATAGAAGCCACAATTTGTGACAGCACCGTGCTTGCATTCTCTCTACCGCTGCTACTGCTGCCAACAGAAGCCTCTGGTGTTACGTCTACTTTTGCTGCAGGCTCTTGGGTTGTCTTTTGAACTCTTGATGGGGAGCTGTGGTCAGAACTATGACTTCTCTGTGGCGATATCTGACTTTTACTGAGACAGCTATTAAACTCTTGGACCTTCTGAGCCACAGAACCCAGCCTGCATTCAGAGCTAGGAGTCACGCCCTTCGCCTGGGAAAATTCGGTGGGTTTACTTCCTATGGCTTCAGTCACTTTGCTTTCTGTTTCTATTTCTTCATAGGTGTGGCTTATTACGCTAGTAGTTTTATCTTTGATAGATAGCTCTCCGCTGGTCCCTAGAAAGCTTTTATAGATAGCCAGGTTATCATATGCATTTGGATTGATTACAATAGGAACTTTAATAGCATTTTTGGAGCTCTTAGCATAAGTGGGCTCATCGTGGATGATAATAGGAAAAGGTGGCATGCCAGCATTATTGTAGCTGTTGAATTTTATCTCAGACAAATTGGGAGACTTAACCGGGATAGTTTTTGAGGAAACGTTTGTAGCTGTAGGTGAAGTAGGCGCTGACTTGTGGCTTGTCTTCCTGGGAGGAACAGAAGGTCCTGGGCTGTTAGCAATTAACTCCACCTTAGGTATCTTCTGCCTTGGACTAGTACTAGAGGTCCACACTTCTTGGTATCGGATTGCACTGGATTTTTTCAGATTAGCATTTACTCGTACAGGTGATGCTGCAGAGGATGTAGTAGGTGTGCCTGGAGTTACTGGTGAGCTTGGGTGAGATGATGTATTTTTGGTTTCTGAGGTTTCAGTCTGATTCTCCTTACATTCACTGGTCATGGCAGCTGATACATCTACTATAGTATATGGCTTACAAACTGGTTGTTCCATGTTCACCACCCTGTAAGGTTTCGCTTGCTCTTCCACAGGCACCAAATTTATAGTTACAGCTTGACCAGCAACATCTGAAGGACTTTTATTCTCTTGCTTCTCAGTTTGCACAGCAATTTTGCCATCCTTCTCTTCCAGGCGAAGCGCAAGGACCGCCTTGTGAGTTTCCAGACTTTTCGGAACGTTTCGGGGAGCTTTTGACACATCCTTCACTTGTTGATTATCACAAAGACTTTCATATTCTGGTTCAATCAATTTGAGGTCCTGAGGAGTACTAGGAGATAACCCTCCGTTACAGAGCTTCTGTGAAGAACTGCTGGTTGTTCCAGAACGAGACTCTTCTGTCAAAGAAGAGTCGGGAGATGTAGAATCAGAAGATACCATGCTCTGCATGCTCTCTTGCCCATAAAGAATCACAGTCTCTTCCCCATAACCATTTAAAATTTCATCGTAACTGTCATCATAATCCACTGCACAGATCCGCTGGAGAGATTTGTTTCTAAGGGGCACAGTATTCCATTTCTTGTCAACGCAGAATTGAACAGGAGATAGGGTGTTAGCTCTAAAATTAGCAAAGCGAGGTTGGCCCCTCATACGAATTTCCATTGCTAGCAACTCCTCATCACTTTCATCCCAGCTCTCATGCTCTTCTTGCATGCTGCCAAAAAACGTGTCATCCTCACTCTCATCTCCGCTAGAGAACTCTGGGTAACAGAAACGTCCACCTTCATTACTTATGACTTCAGTGCTTCCGCTCAGAATAACGTGCTTACCGTGTGAATCCTTCATTCCACCCATCATGCAGCTTGGAGGGATCTTTCTTTCTAACGACCTTTTGTAACAATTATTTATTCTTCCCAAGAAGGTTTCTCTTGAGTTTGTTTCATTTCCAGTTAGCTGAGGTGTGGTATCCAAACCCGCAATCTCCTTCAAAACTTCTGTCAGTCCGTTATTGTTGTTACTGGGTATCTTACTTACACCATCATTGTTGCCATAAGGCCTATGAAGATGGCCATAGCCTTCAATTTCATCTTCGTTATTATTGTTCAGTGGTTTTTTGTTCAAGACAGCTTTGTTTCGGTTCCAACCTGCAGGCACCGATTTATTCTCACAATGATCCGGAGTGCTGATTTCGCCACATACACCCTGCCCATCTACTACCATCATGGTGGGTTTCACAGCTATAGTGGGTTTCTTTGCCACAGGCGGTCGGAAATTTCCTGTATTTCTCCCGCGATGGCTGGTACTTTGGTTTGCATTGGTTTTCAGATTTCCATGCGAGAGGGTTTTTTTTTCAGATACTGGGGGTAACTGATGCAAGCTTTTAGGCTTGAAGCAGTTCTTACATTCACCAGGTTTCCAGACGTGTTCAGTGAAAGTGTTGCAAGCAGACATTTTCCCAGAGCTCTGCGCTTGATGCTGTGCTGTTCAGTGCATGGTAAGAATTTCATCCATATGTTTCCACTCAGTTCACTTAGTATGGCTACTGTTTTGAGCAGTGATCATTCTGAAACACAAAAAAGAACGAGGATAAGAACCGGGTAAAACCAGGCTGACATTTTTTACACTATGAGTGACTCAGAATAAGCAGGTAGTCTTTTGCTGATGTCTTGGCTCTTTTTACGTAAATTTACAAAACCATCTAACCGAAATACAAAAAAGTTACAAATATCATGCTTCTCATGCATAAAGAATTAAAACTTGGGCAGCTAAGCCCTGTATTACTGAAAGTAGAGAAGGAGTGAGAGAAAGAGTGAGAGAAATGGCAATGACTGAGAACTTAGAATAATTCTCTTGACTAGTTCAGGACCATTGACCTTTAATTTTGCCCAATAAAACAAATGCTAGGAAGAGGATAGAAAACCAAAGATTAGTGCATATTGCTTTCAACATAACTACTTAAACATGAGACAGGAAAGCAAGAGTATGTTCACTCTCCTAAATGCAATTGAGATAATTTGTTTTATCTTTGAACGTGAATGAGCTTCAGTGACAAAACACGTTCAAGCAATTGCAAACTCCTCCATTTTAGCGCTTCTTTCATCAGAGTCAAATTTTAACTGGACGGGTATTTTGGTTGAAGGGACAGGCTGGACTCCAATCCTGGAAAAGTCAGATGAAAATGCTGGTGAAACCCTTCTAGGAAGTCACTGTTTCTTCTCCTTTAGCTTACAACAATAGCAATAAACCATTCTTATATCCTCAAAGCAAAGCAACGGATTTTTCAGTCCTTTATGTGTTTCACATGTCGCTTTTCTACCTACCCACCCCCAAATAACAAGTGAAAAAGAATTGAAAAGTCTCTTTCAAGGTGAGCCTTTTTATTTCCTGAAATGATCAGCCTTAAGTAAAAACCAAACATGAATCTGCTGTGCTTTATAGCCATTGGCGCGTCCAGGATTTGAGAGTTTCATGAATTAATGCCTGCAGATTTTAAGCCTTCTAAGCCAAATCCGCAAGTCTGGTCTCTTTGTCACAGTTGCATAACTCAACTTATTGAGGACATTTTACTGAGGTGAAAGAATCCGTATGTCCGCTGCTACTTCTGTAAACACAGGCATTGAAAATAAATAATTTTATATCCTTACAGGCTTGGGGTGAAAATACACTCGCTGATCACATAGGTACACTGAAAGGGTATTCATAAACCCATCCAGGTAAAGATGCAGCTCTCTATAGAGCCCGTGGTCAGTAACTCAGCAGCAGCATGGCTGTGGTGGAATTCACCACAGGCACAACTGGTTTTCATCAGTGTAGCAAACAATAGAAACCATTAGTAAAACTGACACTTGCATGAATTTGTCAGTCTCCTCACGTACCGCTCTGTGTTTTGGCAAAGGGCTGTCCTAGGCTTTTCCTAGGCTGGAAAGCTCCAATATAGCAATCCTGTTCCAACACCAGATGGGGCTGAAGTCTAACTCTATTAGAGTATCATCAGACATAGTCATGGTACCAGGGCTATCATATTTCATACATTAACTAAATATGTTTCCAGACAAAGCTTTTTGCCAAAAAGTCAGTGCCAAAAGCTTTCTCTGCATGACCTACGAGATAGAAAGTCTGCCAGATAGAGATCTGCCCAAACTTTCAGCCTTTGTTTTATATATACAGAGTAAAATGCCTTTGTATTTTTTTTTGATCTCTGCCAAGATTTGTTGCCTCAACACTTTGCAAGCCTGTATATTGTAAGCAGAGAAATTATATTAAGAAATAATTCTCCTAAAATCAGTGAGAGAGAGAGAGCGCGGCACATATACTAGAGTTTTATACCCTGTTTAGTTCCTTCCTTTCATGTATTTAACAAATAAAAGGAGTGAAGTTACACTAATGGGAATCTAAACTAAATATTTTCTTGGAAAATACACTTCTCTGTTACATAAAACCTCTGAACAAACAATTTAAACAAAAGGGTTAGTGCATACGTGTGTGGTTTTTAAGATTTAACTGGGTGATATTATTTCTCCAAAACTGCATAAACTGCACTTGCTCTAGAATCCTATCACAAACCAGACAGCTTTATGGCCTTCCAGGCTAAGCAGTTTCCGCTGATAATGTTGGGGTAGAAATGAGAAAGCTCTCCACTGCACGCCTTCCTATGACTGACATTTGTATGTTTTACCGCTGGCCGTACTCACGCTCATTTGCTCAGACACACTGAGACTCATCAGTCTTCCTCTAACTCAAATGAGTGCTACGCTCAACACATGAATGCAAACTACAGAAAACTTCACAGGACCACAACACAACGCTCCAGTTGGAGCGAAAACTATGGCATGGTCATAGCTCTGTGCAAACGTACATCCCACATCCCAGGAGTGCTACCTGCAGCAATTTAGGTTAAAATAAAATACACGTTGATGTGTCTGTGTAAATGCAGACATGTAACGTGTACACCGAAAATACATCTGACATGCATAGATATTTTACATCTTTTGCTCTCCAACACCTAATGGAAATGGTTTAAACACAACCACCCTCTCCAGCATGGTTTTTGACGGAGTCTGTGAAACAGGCAAGAGCCACTGACTTCTCAGGTTTATAAACTACAGCTGGGTTTCTAGTTGGCTTCGGCACGTGCAGGATGAGCAGTTCCTGTGGCATGCTTTGACACTGCCTGCAGCTGTAACAAAGAGGAAATATGCACCTTCAAACAAGAGGAAACCTATCTTAAGAAAACAACCAAAAGAATTCCAACATTGTGCTACTTTCATACTTCGAAATCAGAAGCACTCCTATGCTATTACAAATTAAATTCATAGTGAACCTTGTATGCCTACACAAGTATTGGCATTTAAAAAAAAAAAACAGGCAGTTTCTTCATTGCTGTGCAACTAAAAGCGATTTTTCTGATATTTTGCTCTCTCTTTAAAGAAAATACATTTACTCTTTAAACTACATATTCCCTATTATGAGCGATAATTAGAGTGAGACTGATTATGAGTGAGAACAGAAATGAAATCTTCTTTCAGTATTAAAAAATGTAAAACATCCTTCACGGGTTGAGGCTATTGCTTCCATTGCTGTTAACAGCAGCGGCAACTTGGTAGAGGGCAGCAGAGTCCATTGAAGGTAAAGAAAACGCACACAGATACAACAAGGCAAAAAAAATATCCTGACATTGTTCATTTCAAGATTCTTGCCTTACTCCTCAAAACAAAGGTGGTCAACAAGAGACCCAGGCAGGCACACATCAGATCTCTCAAGCTGCTACAGTGTGCAGGTATCTTCCATAACACCCCTGCTTCCATGACAGCCCATTTAACTGCCAAGGAACGGGAAAGCATGCTCCGCAGCGTTCTGCAATGAGTAGTTTGGATGACAGAACGTACTTGAAGATACTCAATCTCCGCAAAATTAAGGCAATAACCACCTCAGATGTTAATTACAAAACAGGATTAGGCTTCTAAAGAAAGCATGAACAGTAAATACATAGTATCGACGTTGTGCATTTTGTCCCTGTATCTCAAAGCCTTTTATGTAAGTTGATAAACGTAACTATTCACCATTTATACACAGAAACACTGCACTGCAGTGACGCCAAGTAACTAAAATTCACCAAGTGAGTCAGTGACAGGAACAAGTACAGACAGACAAGTTCTGCTCCTAATGTGGTGCTGCAGCCAGCAGATCGTGATACTTCATTCACTAAATGGTTGAGTCAGCATAGATAGTTTTATCAGCTTTAAAGGCCAAATCACTCTCTGTGTAAATGGGAATAATGCTCCTCATTTCAGCAGATACACAACTGCACACAGGAGCGCTCAGTCTGGCCCTGTTAAGTTGATAGCAAGCAAACAGGAACGCAGAAGCGTATTTCACTTTCCAGGTCAGAGGGAGAAGATGACAGGTTCAGAGCTGCTGTGCAGAGATGAAGAAGTAATCAGCTGAGACATCCTCACGTCAGGAAACTGAATCTTGCAGAGAAATGCAGAAATATTTGTGTTGCTCATATTTGTTGACATCATCTCTGTTGAGTGCACAAAGATAGTAATAAACATGCATTTCAGGTATTTCCCTTTTGTTCTAAGTAATTTTAGGCTGGCGGGTCTCCTTTAGATGCATGCTGCCTGAATCACAATGAAGGCCTTCTCCAGGAATACTTTATACTAACATAATCCAATTAAAAGGAACTTAATTGGTGTGCAACATTCCCTACAATTTCAACATTTTAAAAATGAATAGTCTCAGTAAGTACCAGATGGTGACACGCACTAATTAATCAGGCCTGCTCAATGAATGAGCATATGAAAATGAATGCACCTATTAGACATGTGTTTTCAATGCTGTATGCTGCAAAAAAGCTCCTCTTAAATGAATGCCTGCTATAGTACCAAGCAATATGCACAAGTGTGCATTTCATCACATGTAATTGTAACACTATCGCTCTTTCATCTCTTCTTAGATCACGAGATACTTGGTACAGATTTCCTTTTGTTTGTCCTCCTCCAGGGAAAAGGCATTTCGCTTCAGCATTGCTAGTCAGGAAAATGGGCCTGCAGTTTTTATACTGCAGAATAAAGTGCATTGATCAGCCTTCTTATCAGACCACAGTCCAATAAATTGCTACGAACAACCCACGAACCTCTCACCACTGACAGGCACGTCCTCAGACTGAAAAACTCAGCAATGGGAATCCAACCTAGGTTTCCTATAGAGGAGTGCCCAAACACCACAAAACCACTATGGCTTTGTGGTTTTGTCTGAACCACTTACAGGGATCTGGACAGTCACTGGTCATCATAAACAGTAGCGTAATAAAAGAGCAAAGCGGTGGTTATTCTTTGCCAGTATCTGATTTCTGTTTCTTTTAAGCTTTAATGTAATTGTAAACACTTTAAGAGACTTTTTGGAAAAACTGAAATGCTCCAACTTCACACATACAGTCCTGCTTGGGT